TATATATATATATATATATATATACTCGTATATATATCGGACTTACACGTATACCACATATACATTTACGCATTAACACATAACGAATTAAAATCCTCATAACTATTGTACTAATGAATAAGTTTCCTAATCAATAAATCTTATTAAAATGAATAAATCTTCTTTTTAAAATAAATTTTCTCTTTTGTTCTTTCTTTTATTATTTGGTAAATAATAAAATAAAACGAAAAATAGAATCATCTTTAAAGGTTGATTTTATCCCTTTAGGGTGAATTCAGGTAATAATTTCAAAAAAATTATTTACTATATATCAGGATATCTTTTATGTATCATCATAGTTTCACAATTTTTTGAATTTTCGAGTTGATCTTTTCTTGTCATTTAAAATGGCAAATATGTTTGGGTACAGAATATCAAGTCTCTAATGCCTACTGTACATTGGATGCGATGGACTATGAGCGACAAGCGATATTCTATGAAAGCTCTGCTTTTTCTCACGTGCTGTAAAGCAGAGTTCTTATTGGATATTGCTCATCGCGTCCGGTATGCAGGAGGCATAAGTCGGATACAGAATATCAAGATTTAATCGTCCGATTAATCTAAAATGATATTTTAAACGTGATCTTTCGATTATTAACGTTAATCTTGTAATTATCATTTTTGCAATTTGGGACGTTCCCTTGTAAATATATATATTAACGACAAATTATGTTAAATTATTAATACGCTCGGCAACTATCTTCAAAATGCTAGACGTTCAATTGGGGACATTTTGAGAATTAGCAACCTATTATACTTATACAGGGTGTTTCTTGTAATTTGATCATTTAAAGCTGCGTATACTCCTAGCGAACGAACACCGAATACGAATGTTCGGACATTCGTGTTTGTGAGCAGTTTATTTTTTTTCTTGATTGCACCGAATATTAGCATTCGATCAGATTCGATGTTTGTTACATATAGCAATTAAACTTGTGCAACTTTTATGTAACAAATAACAACACAAAGTTTTGCATTCGATGTTCGTTCAGTGTTCGTTTGCTAGGTGTATACACGGCTTAACATATCTCCGTTGTTTTTGATGATATGAGAAAATATCACAGGAGATGTTATTTGATTCGAAGGGGCACATTTTATTATAAGCAAAAAATTTTTCTCAAGATCATATTTTTCGAAACTTCAAAGTCACCTCCATCTTTTTTAAATGGCTTATATGACTTTATGATTTTTTTAAGGAATTGTGTGATTTTCTTACACAATATGATTCCTCTAATTATTTTCAGAACAAAATAATAAGATGAATCAATTGGTGCAAAGAAAACACATAGTTGCCTTAAAAAAATATGTATGCAAAATGAATAATTTTTTAAATAAGCAATTGTGTATTTTTTTTCCATCAATTAATTCATTTCATTATTTTCTTCGTAAAGCTATTAAAGTACGATTATAAAAAAATTAATAATTTACGAATTATTTAACATTTTATTATGTCAATATATGCCAAAATAAGGTATAAAATATCTCGTAAATTAATGTTTTATATATTATTAACTTAATACTTCTATATTCAAAATAATTAGAGGAATCATATTGTGTAAAAAAAATCATCCAGCTTTATTTAAAAAAGTGGAGACCTTAAAGTCTCAAAAAAATATGATTTTGAGAAAAATTTTTTGCTCATTATAATATGTGCCCCTTCGAATCGAACAAAATCTTCTGTGGTATTTTCGCATATCATCAAAAACAATGAAGATATTTTTAATTATTAAGTTACTGAAAACACTCTGTATAAATGGATAGATCTCTAAATGATTAAATAAGACAAAACAAATTATAAACATTCGTAAGTTTAAAAAAATTTTTTTATATGAACAATGGTTTTTTAATTACTTATCTGTTTTTGTATTTATATAATCTGCTTACTTACTGTTTTGTGGAAAGTAATAAGGGATGCAACCGCATTTTGCTCTTATGATACTAGCTCGACATTCTGCAAGACAATTGTGATATGAGTATGCCGTGAAAGTTAAATTCCTCTCTTTGACATTTGCATATAGCACTTTGTCAGCCTCTTCGCTAAATATGCATTTTCGCGTAGAAATTTTCAAGTTCTTCACTTCGGATTTTGAATACATTTCCGCTGGATTGATGGTTACAAAATGTTGACTGTTTAATCGTACTAGTTGAATTTCATCATTAAAATCTGGATAATCAAATGAATAATGTATCATGACCTATAACAATGTAATAACATATTTACTTAGTAATTTCTAACGAAAAGAGTAAATATTCGGGTACATAAAATATAAAAAGTTACGTAATGAAATTTATTGTCCATGTTTTTTTAAGTTATAATGCATTATATGAGATATTTCCATTAACAAAAGAATACATGCGTTTTAAATGATTCGGAAGGTCTCATCAATCATCAAAATAGTTGGTTCATCCTTACTCAATTTTACTTGCTAAATTCGAAAATTATGTAGTTATAAAAATTGTCGGTCATTATTCGGATTAACGGACGCGACAATGACTTTGACATATGTTGTTAAAGTCTCTGAGTGCAAAAAGTTTTAGATGGCAGTCACTGTTTGTTTAAAAGTTATTAACAAATATAGTTTAAAAAATGTCTTAATTCTGCTATAAACTGACAGGCATATGACTTTCCACGCAGAGGGAGTTCCACCCCACGTCTTTCTGTCACAGAACGTACGATTTTACAAGCAAAGCGACTTCAACCTCCTCCTTGTTATAGGACGTACGACTTTCTATGCGAAACGTGGTCCACCTCCTCCCCTGTTTTAGAAGAAAATCGGTCGCCTTTTGGTTGAGAGGGGAGGTGTGATGGATTTATTTTACGTGGAAAGTCGTGCGCCCCTTGACAGGGGGAGAGATTGGGTGGACCTCTTTTTGCGCGAAACTTTGGAAAGTCGAACTCCTAGACAGGAATGGTATAGGGAAGTTGTTAATATTGTATATGGTAGAAATAAAACATTTTTAAAATTTTATTTGTTAATAACTTTTGAACAAACAGTGACTGCCACCTAAAACCTTTTGAAGGTCACTCAGTGTCATGACCTTGACAGCATATCAAGGTCAAGGTTCATCAGTGCGGTCCATCCATTAAAATTCGAATAATTACTATTATTTTTTTAATTGAATATAACCATAATCTTTTAATTACATAAAAAATTTGTTTTATGTAAAAAAATTTTGTTACATATAAAAAATATCTGTTTTCATTTAAAAAAAGATTGTGTTGGAAAACTATAAACTATTTTTTAAATTCTAATGGAAAGAAACGTCTTTAAATCAACGAAATCGAGTTGATGTCAATTCTATTATTATTTCTTAATGTGTGCCATAATGTATGCGTCAGAATAGCGATATGTAACTTTATCTCTAGAACTGAAATGTGAAAAATAAAAACTTTTGTATCTATAACTTTTGTGTATATGTACATACATAAAAATTGTCACTTTTCACATTTCCGCTTTAAAAAAAAAGTTACGTGTTACATGATCGCTACCTAGGCTAGTCGGTCTGTACCATGTCGATCTATCGATACATGGTGATCAGTCGCTCGCCAGTGTCACGAAAAACATGACGTTGCTGGCGTGGCGCTTGCAAGTTGCAAATTTGCCATGCTTCTGATGGCAGCATGGTATTTACACAAGGGCCCATATTAGCTCCTTATTTAAATTTTTATCAAGGAAGGAAAAAATAAGAATTGAGTATAATTAAAAATTGATTACCTTTACTCCATATGCTCCAATAGTTGTAGCGTAATAATCATTTGGTTCGGAATTTACTACTATGGTCATACCAGTCTCAAATCCGCAGGCGGCAGCTCTTCTCACACTTTAACGTTAAGAATTTTAATTAATTAAAAAATATGATGTAATACGATTATTTGTAGAATGCAGAGTCGGATTTTGATATTCATAAGCTTTTAATACTTTTTATTCCGATATAAGAAAAATAAAATCTTTGTTTTTATCACAAATTAAATGGTAAAATAATTTTTATCTCATAATTTTTTTTCCTTTGCTGTATAAAACATTTTTTTATTATTTTGTATTTCCTAATTTTTGTATAAACTGAAAGATCTTTTATAAAGCTTAAAAATTCTTTTTCCGCTCTGCAAAAATAGTGTTCATACTTCTTCAATGTCGTTGTATCTGGAAAAGTATAATAATTGAAACTGCAGCATAAGCCATCTAGTGATAAACTTCGTTTGAAATATTTGTCACATTGATCAATTGTACCTTTCCATTTACACATTGTCAATAAAGTACTGCAGTTTTGTGTTATCTGAAAAAACGTTGTTATTAGCTTTTCCGAAATTGTAATACTAAAATGCGAAACAGTTGAAATGCACGAATACATTATTTGACAATACAACATAGTTATTTATGCAACATTAAACAATTTTTTTATAAATGATTCATATAGGCTTCTTTTCGTAGATTTATGGATTTGTAATGAGAAATGCTCCAGCGTGTTAGATTTATAGAAAACGTTAAAAAGTAAAAAAACGCGTTTCTGTTATTTTTGCCTACGGGCAGTATTTAACATGCACCTTTCAACGCGATAATCTTTGTCTTTTTGTCGCTAAAAATGGTTTAAATGTCAGAGCCGAAACGTAAAAGCAAAATGTTACAAGATTTTACATAATTGACTTATTGACTATTGACGAGTAAATGTCTTATTAAAAAGATATTAATTTGCATACTTCTACAGCGCTTGCTATTTCGATAGCTTTCTTTTATTTTAATTTGTTGAAGTATCTGGAATCCTTTTTTACTGTATTATTTATTCAAGAATTTTGCCGACGTATTATATGCGCATAATAAATTGTTTTTGTACATACGTACCAAGTCCATTACTTTAAAAATGGTCAAATGGTTATCATCTATAATGTCTTGTAGACGTGTAAGGTTTCTTTGAACATCATTTCCGAATATTCCTGGGCTTAGTAATTCGTTCATTAGCCGCATTTCTTGAATTAAATATTCTTTCGAGACATTGGCTGGTGTTTTTCTATGAAAAATATAATGCAAATAAATATGTGGTAAAGAGGTAAAATAACTGTAATATGTAGAATTATGCAATATGAATATAAAGAAAAATTAATTATTTGCGAAGTTATTAAATATTATTGTATATGTACAAAATCATAAAAGGCTAAATACTTACAAATTTTCAACGAACTTTTTCGTCAAATTATAAGATATGCGATTAATATTGCACACAGTTATTGCGGGAAATGGATAATTCCAGATTCCATGATGCGTTGATTCAATGACTGTTAAAGTAGGATGAGTAGCGTAATAATTCCAAGCCATTCTTATTAAAACAATAGCACAACTTAATGACACGAATACCACTATCGCCCAAATAATTCTATAATAAATAATTGTTAATATATGTATAATATATATATATATTTTAATTGTTAGAATTGTAACAAACGATGATACACACACACACAGACACACACACAGTGTTAGTTAAGTATGTTGCCATATTCAACAGAGCGATTCTTTACATCTGGGGATGTATAGTATATACCTTATATAAATTTTGTTCAAAGTTTTCAGTCCGTTTTTAGCCTGAGCAAAGTTAGTTTGAGTGGTAAAAATGTTCATTCCACTCAATGAGTATGATTCCGTTTTTACGTCGCAAACAGGAATTTTTCCGTAAAAACAACGATTAAAACGAATTGCACATGAATATATTCGAGTGATAATAACGTATATGTTCTGAATATTTTTGAGTAAATACGTATTGTTTAAATTTAAAGTGTAAAAATGTATCTTTAGCTACGAGTATAAAATACTGGTTTAGCACTCACAATTACTCACATTGCACATTTTGAAATTTGAAATTTAATCCATATTCTTTATTATATCTCATTTTTAAAATTTTAGTATTTTCACACTTTTCATTTTTCGTTAATACTGAAGTTAGATTTAAATTTTGAAGATTTTTTATTAATTGATTATAGAACTAACATATTCTTTAAAAGTGCTGCAAGATAAAAGTTTTAATATATAATATATTTACGACGGAATAATTTTAAACGGCTACTAAATTTTTAATTTAATGTCCATTTAAAATTAAATTTTTAATTATAAAAAATGGGTATATATTATCTCTTTTTATAAAAAAATTGAGGTTGAAGAAAAACTAACCTAATAAATTGAAAGAAATTTATTAATTAACATATATAAGTATTCCCCTTGTATTAATAACCTTGTTGTTACCATGCGCTCGTAATCGAGTCTTATGCGATATCAATCAGAAGTTTTAAATCTCCTTTGTCGGACAGACTATTAAAAAACGCGTAAGCACATATGTTTGAAGAGAAAAAAGTTTTCTTCACATGTCTCTCGAAAATTTAATACATTCATATTTTTATCCGAAAGTATTACATTTTAAGAGTATTATCTTAAAATTAACTAAAAAAAGTTTAAAAAATGAAGAAGTTATGATTTTTTATATTACAGTTCACTTTTTTTATGTGTACGTCTTCAAGAATTTTTTAAACATATTGCTATTTGATTAGTAACGTTACCATTAATAAAACACATTTTATAAAATTTTATGTTTAAAATATATTCCCTATTTTGTTCAAACAGATAGTTTTAGAATGTCAGCATCAATTAGCCAATTTGATCGAGTGTGATAACCGTGAAACTTTACAAAGGTGTGACAACGAAGGATTAATATGCACTACTTTGATAAGTACTAAAAAGTATTGAAAATATAAAAAAGTTTCAGTCACATAACATCTTGATAAATTATCTATGTTTATATTTTATTTATCAATTTACATTTAAAATTACAACATATTAGAAAATTTACACATACCGCTCTGTTTTGGAACGTTGAGTTTGGCTGATGTATTTATAACCATGTAATCCAGTGTTATTGCAAAATTCGATGGCTTGCCTTTTCAAAATATTCCAACATTTAGCATTTGCGATTGATACTTTATGTCGAATTTGTATTCTACTTGATTTCATATTTAACTCGATTATAAACGAATTTTAATATTACAAATTGCAATTGTCAATTGTGCTGAGAATAATGTTACACGGGAGAACAAATGGAAAGATGTGTAACGTTTTCTTCTCGTGAGTACGTTAGCGTGTTAACTGCTGTACATCGGACAGAGTAAATAGCAAAAGCATATAGTGCAGCAACACATGCGATGTGACATAAAAAATTTATTCGACTTTTTATTGATTGCGCGTGATAATTTCAACTTTCCTAGTCGCGATTTTATCCATGTATAATTAATTATTAACCGATGAAAATGTTAAAGCACATCTAATGCATACATTACAGATTCTCGTGCCACTTGTCATTATTGCTCTTTTAAATTGGAATGCTTCGTTTACATTTCGTGATAATGAAACATTTGCCTGATGACCAATGAATATTAACGATAACGTAGTAAAACTCAGAGAAAGGATAAAAATGTGTATTGAGTGCAGTTAAATGCTATCATTAAAGTACATATAAATATATAATTTATATGAAATTAACTTTATATGAAATTAATTTTATATATTTTCTGTAGAAAAAACTGATTATTTCTTTTTTATCTAGAGCGATTCGGTTCAATCTTGTCACGTAATTATTTTCAATCTAGTAATAATTTAAAAATGTATTGTGGATCGAAGTCAATTTTTT